AAATTGCCGTGAACACAGTCACTATTGCCATTTTGAAATACTTTCATACGCAAAAGCTCAAAACGGTAACAATATTACATAAATTTCACTATTAATATCAATCAAATTTGATTATATAAATTAATTAACACATATTTTTCATACTAATAATAATAATAATATAAATTAAATATAATTAATATGAATTATAATTAATGTAGAATGAAATAATATAAAAATAGAATGAAATAATATAAAAATAATATGAAATATAATAAGAATAGTATAAAATAAAAATGGAATAGTATGAAATATAATAAAAATAATATGAATAAATATGAATATGATTTATAAATCACATGTAAATCAATTATCCAATCAAAATAAACTATAAGAAATTATATAATATATCAAAATTCATATCACAACAATATTTCTCACTCATTAAAAAAACAAGTGAAATAGTTTTTGTTATTTTGTATTACTAATTATATTGTTATAGTTTTAAAATATTTAATACTAATACAGAAAACCAAAACTTAAAAATTCAAGCTTAAATAATTTCAGATTTAAGTTTAGCATTTCAATTTAATAAATTATTTATTAATATAATAATTATTTTTAGTTCTTACCAAATTACTAATAAAATAATTATTCTATCACTTTATATTTAATCTAATTGCAAGATCTAATATATAATGCTATATTTATTATACTATATTTTATGTACAAATTTTAAGTTAACTACCAACCATTGCTTGTTTGAATATGACATATTTTAAAAATATCCTCTTTATCTATTCCTTTTTCATCTTTGGTTTTTGCTGATATTTGTAAACTTTCAATTGTAGCAGTAATATTAGAGATAGTGATGGTGGGAGAATTTTGTATAGTAGATGATGATGATAAATTACCATCATTTGTTTGCATATTCGATGCTCTAATCTCATCAATATCCCATGTTGTTTGCGATGGAGATGTATTATCCTCGTCTATATCCCAAGCTTGTGTATGAGACAGATTATCGTCATTTGTATCCCATGTATAAGCTGATGGTCCATTATCACTCTCTTCTAAAATTTGTGTCGAAGATGATACACTACTACGATTTGAATCACATTCATATTCATTCGATTGATTACTCGATTCCGAATAACAGCATCCATCTTCGTCATCATTAAAGAAACCCGATCCTTTGAGATCATTATTAATTTCATCCTGCGGTTCCGCGTCAAGTTTATATTCTTTATGAACTTGTATCAATTCGCTGTCGATCACAGTGAAATATGGGCAAGCATTTAATGTTTCGTATAACTTCTCGCGAGATTTACAGACTTGTCGAATTCTGTGAATATCCCATAGTTCGTTAAAATTTACATAATTACTATCAATACTATCATTGTTTGATATAGTAACGGAAGCCGAAGAACTATTCCTTATAGCAACAGCAGCAGCAGAATTATAATCAGGGTTATCACAAAGATATTGCATGTAATAATCAATTTCTCCAATAATTTCTTCATAAGTTTTCTCTGGTTCATCATAATGTGGAAATACAATGTGCTCAACGAGTTGATATTCTCCAAAGGAAGAATGCATAGGCTTTGCGTCAACTTGCAAGTCTTTAAAGAATGCAAATTGGGTTGCGTGTCCAATTTCATGATCGCTACTTTTTAGTCGTCCAACACCATCAAATTCAACTGAATAGCTATATTTAGATGCTCCTGCTTTGCTCCTATATATTAAATGAATTTTGTTTATTTCTATAGCCCACAAAATTGACTATCATTTTTTTAATCATACCAATCCTGAAACTCTTGACGAGTCCATTCAAAACGATGATCATCATTACGAAGAGTTGCTTCGGGTGTTCCATATTTCAGCTGTGGAAAGTATTTATTGAATTCAACATTAGGTGTTGATACTATCAAAATTTTAGGTTTATATGTTCCTAAGACTATCTCAAAGAATTTATCAAGAACCGGCGGATCAAGATGTTCCACTCTATGTAATAAATAATATGATGAGCAATTATGTGCGTAAATTCAAGTATGAATATCAATATACTTACACTTCCAAGCATACAATTGCCTCATATCCGCATAATCTCCTATCAGCTACATCAACGCTACCTTAAAAACGATAATCACAAATTTAGAATTGATTAATTGATATTAATTCTATACACCGAATCTAACCCCCTACCCTGATATATATCAATAGTCAACGGAGACAATCTTAAAAATTCATAGTCCTGTTCCCAAGGACGACAAGCTTCCAAGGTATTTTGCAGAATTTCCAAATTTATATCTAAACCGGCAAGACGTATTATTGGTTTCTCTTCAGAAGATGGCACTAAAAAGGAGATAAAGGCTCCTTCGCCGCAGCCAAAGTCCAACACCTGGTAATAATATATAAAAAAATGGCGAAATTTATGTTAATTATGAATATTATTACCGCAATCTCATCGAGGGAAATTTCCCAGTTAATTCGACGTTATCACCAACATACCGAAGTTATTTTATGCTTTTTCAGTATTTCATTTGCCAAACATCGTCTTTGTTTCCATAATGGAGGATTAAAGAAGGTATAGTCTTCGTTATCTTTGTCACCATTATCGTTCATTTTTTTGTGACACGAAATTCGGAAAAAAAGTTTTATTTTGATATATGAATTTTGTAACTCTCTGATTGGCTCTTTGATATCTTTGTTACAATGAAGGAGGCATACACAAAATGTGTGTATATGCACACTTGATTTTTTTGGTGTAATTAATTATAATCGATAGCTTATTTCGTCATGTATCAAGACGCAAAGCAAATCAAAAAATAACAGAGAGCAAATCATGTACATGTACTCCTTTCTCCTTTTTTTATATAATATGTTATATAACATATATATATATTGATATATATTATTCCTTTTTTTAGAGAACCGTAAAATGCGAAATAATATCATCATTTCTTTCTTTCTTATAATCATATAATTTTTTTTAACAAACAAGCGCGTTGTCGTGATCTCTTGAAGACAGAAACAAAAAACAGAAAATGATCTCGTTAGGGGGTCTTTTAGCCGCTTTACTCGGCAATTCGGTGATAGGCCTTGGAAATTGCTTACAAAAGTACGCGCTACAACGCGGTGGTGCCTCGGAAACTTCCGGATCGTCGTCGTCTTTACAAGAAACAACTAGTACTACAAATACCTTTGAAGACGATTCGCAAGAACAATTGAATTTACTTAATGGGAAATCTATCACCTTTGTTTCTAGCCCTTTACTCGATCGTCATTCATTAACTATTAATCGTTTTACTGGTAAAAATGATGAGATAGAAGAAGGCGACAACGAAATTGCGGGTGTCAATCTGTCACCTAATGCAAGTACTACAACACTTACTCCCATGAATATAAACAATAATAGTATCGATAATAGCATCAATAGTGATAACAACATTAATAAAAGAAATTATTCACGGTTTAGAGATCGAACATGGTTTCTCGGTATATCGCTTGTATATCTTGGTGAATTATTCGGAAATTGGGTGGCATTGGCATTAATTCCTGCCTCAGTCGTAATACCATTGGGAATTCTCGGTGTAATAGTCAATGCGATACTTGCAAATTTTCTATTGGGTGAAAATGTTTCATTTCATCAAAAGATTGGATATATTTGGATATTAACTGGAGTACTGGCGATAATTTTATTCTCCGCCGCAAATGAAATGGAAGATAAATTATGGACAGGTGCTGAAATTGTTAATTATATGCTACAATTTCGTGTACTCGGTTGGTTGTTGGTAATTTTTATCACGGAATGTATATTAATCTTGACTGTGAGACGACAAACAAGAAAAAAAGAATCGTCTTTAGTTTTCTATGTGTTGATGACTGCTGGATTTGGAGCACTAACTGTAGTGTCTAGCAAATTTTTGGCTCTGTTGTTAACTTGTTGGTTATTTCTTTCTAATCAGCCTTCGGATGGTGTCCGAGAAAAAGTTAATCTTGGTCAGGAAATTGATACACTGATATATCGAGCTCAACGGAATAACATTCAATTAATGTTTGGAGATGAGATGCCAACTTCCATCATTATATTCGCTTTATTCGCATTACTAGTGAATCTAGTTATTGGAATCGGGGGTCAAGAAATATGTAAACAAATTGCTCTCAGTAAATATCGCATCACTCAGTTTCAGCCAATGTTCTACGCGTCACATGTGACATTTGTCGCAATAAGTGGAATGATTGTGTTCAAGGAGGTTGGCGGGTGGTGGTCCATGTTCGGATTTGTTATTGGAATTATGGCAATTATTCGAGGTGCTTCTTATTTACTGGGTGTGGAAAAGAAAATTGTTTGGTGGTGGTGGCATCAAAGACATGCTATAAAGTCTGGTGTTGGTGTTGCATCAACTGGCAGTGGTATTGGAATTACTGGTTCGAAAAAATCCAAACGTGAAGATTGACTATATGGCGGATCTGCCGGATTATTAGATCGTCAAAGATATTATGACGGGATAATTAGCGATGCTGATGATACGGATTATTATCAAGATGATCTTGAAACTGATACATTATTAAAAAGTAACGGACAGCAAAGACTACCAGAAATTGGCGAAGGAGGAATTGAAGTTGAAGCGGGTGATCGAGATAATCGTCTAAGAAATACAAATCAACAATATGGAGCGTGTTATTGAATGGTATTCATATCATCTGGAACAATCGATTTTTCCTTATCGTTATCATAATAACAAATCATTATAATCATGTTACACTACAATCTTTCAATCTTTTTTATCAATAATTCTCATCATTTTTCCATTTTTTGTCTTTAGCGCGTTTATTATCATAAACATGCCTTCCAATAAAAATATCTAGGTGTCGGTGGGTAGGGGTTAAGGAAGTGTCAGATTTCAATAACACATCAATTTTATTGGTACTTGGGGTGGGAGGTTAGGGGGGTGCCACAAATTACGTGATTTGGTATGGGGAAGGAGTTCCACAGGGGAGGGAAAGGAGTAGTTTAGAAAAAAGAAATCACGCAATCTGTGGCACTCCTCTTACAAATTGAAATCATTTGACTTCGATCCCCTAAATCGTAGCCAATAGAAAATTTTTACTTGAACTTAAATTTTAATACTTATTGTACTTTGCAATTAGAAAAACTTTTTCAAATTAAATATTATATTTAGATCTAAAATAATATAATTTATTATCATTAATCATTTTATACTAATATAATCTAGATATATTGTTACCATTTTATATGAGTCCTTGGGAGAGCTGGTGAGTGCTTAATAATGTTATAATAAGTTACTTGGCCAGGGTAATTATAGTAAAGTTTATTAAGAATAATGGGTGGGAGAGTATAATATAATCAAATTTATATAATGCATCAAGCATTAAACTATGATTATAAACGAATCTAAAGGAAGGTAACAGTGTGTTCATGACGTGGTCA